TGTAGGGCAGCGCATGACCTAATGACACACACAGTGAAAGAAAAACGAATAGATGTCTTAATTGGTAGTGAACCAAACCTTAAATGTGAAGGTAAACAATTTGTTGACAATAAGTGTGATGCGTTCATAAATGTGTATAATGGTTTATTAGTGATCGGTATATCACTAATATACCGGTCACTATATCTCGGTGTATAATCGGTTGTTAGAAGAATTTGAAGAATTGTTATATAACATGCAATTAATGCTAAGACAGTTCAACAAAGAAATTCTGATCGGCGGAGACTTAAATGCTAAACTGCGTCAAGCAGGATCGTGTAAAGATAATAAAAGAGGGGAAATATTGGAACTCCGGAAAACTTGATACGAAACATAAAGAGGCTTTGTGAAAAGCACTGTATTAAAGGAGACAGAAAAAATTTAAGTCATAAACCGGTATATTGGTGGAACGACGATATAGCTAAGAAGCGAAAAGAATGCAATAAATTAAGACGAAAATTAACGCGAGGTAGACGAAACGGTCAAAATGATTCTGAGGAGGTCGAACAATTTAAGATACANAGGATAGGTTCAGGATATTTCAATAGAAGATCACGAGTATCCGATAAATAATAAGAAATTAATACAAATATTTGCCGATGTTAAACGTAGAATGAGTTGTATGTCTAAAAAGAATGAGCGTAATTATAATTTGCGAAGACGTCCTGATGTATTCAGTGTTGGTCAAAAAGTTTGGAAAAAGAACTATGTATTGTCTGATGCATCTCGTTATTTTTCAAATAAATTGGCGGCAAGATACGTTGGTCCATTTGTTATAGATAAAGTTGTATCACCGTGGACCTATACTTTGCGTAATGAAGATGGTCGAATATTGGGTACCTGGAATGCCAAAGATTTAAAGCCCTATCAAGAATAAAAATAGTTGAACATTTATTAGAATTTTATAGTTTTTAAAGTTTACGGGGTAAACTTTCTTCATGTTGGGGGGGAATTGTAACATTTCTTTTTTTTGATTAATTAAAACACGTAAATTTTTCCATTAAAATAATTTAGGAGTAATTTTATTTAAATACTGAATGGGGGGTTACATAAAAGTCAGGGTTTATTTTTCGTTATAATTTCGAATCGCGTTTTTTTGGCGGAACGGGTTTTGTGGTGGCGAAGATTTTCGGGTCGAAAAAAAGACAGAGACGAGTATTAAGAGCCGGAAAGTCGTTTTGAGCTCGGAGAAAATTTTCGAGATTTAAGATCATCGTGGTTCAACAATTCAATCCAAATTAAGGGTTAAGTTTTTGTGCCCTCCAAAGTAATTATTCTTGGGATTTGGGATCGCGAATTGTATTTCGTCGAAATTTTGTGATTTGTGATTTCGTCGATACTCCTGTTGGAGGATTTAATTGAACCACGCCGCGTTTTTACGCGAACTTCGATAAATTTTCCATTTGCGAAGCGTTTCAATTGACCATTATTGAGCGAAACGGTAAGATTATAGCTAATTTTCCTTTATTTTTCCTATCGGTAATAGTTTTCTTATCGTTTCTTTAGCTTTTTTGTATCGGATATAAATTTTTTTTATATATTGGATATTTCCGTCAACGTGCCGATATCGTCTTGATCCGTATTATAGCCATTTTGATCTTGGGATCTTCTTCGTTGGAATAATATTTTTTTTTTGAAGAGGAAGAGCAAAATAATAAGAACCTATCAACATAAAAAGGTCAGATTGTAACATTTTCTGTATCCATCATCATTTAGATACGTTAAAAAAAAAAAAAATAAAAACCGCGTTTTCTTTCCTAAAAAAAAAAAAAAATAGAAATTTAATTCGTATGTATCTATATATATATATATATTTTTTGTACTTACCAATGCTATTAATTATTATTGATTAATTATATTATTTTTTTTTGCTTTTGTAAAATCAAAGGCTACTCGAGTACACCCTTGGTTAATTTGATTTTTTTTATCATTAATTTTTTTTTATTTTTCAATCCATATTCTTGGTTCTGTCAGTGTTCTATACATAATTTTTTTTTTGTTTTTGTTTCTATCAATTTAATTAAACGGTTAAACATATTATTTTGGATTTCATTTTTGTTCACGTCACTCATCTTTCACTTCGGAGTGGATCTTGATGTGATTGGTAAATGCAAGGTAGACTATCGCGGATCCACTGGCGCCCCTAAATTTTTTAAATCCATCCCCGTCTCGACTGAGATTTGCCGGCACCTTGCGTTATTGTGGCGTTTTANATTCCAAGAAGAAAGAGCCGAATGCGAAGACAGCTGCGGGGCAAAATTGAATAAAATAAACGTTGTGCAAATTATGCTACAGAGCGAGAATAATTGGGAGGCCGTAGCAATGATGGTAACCGCAATCCTAAAGAAAAAGGAAAAGATAGAGCGAGAGAGAGAAAGGGAAAGAGCTGGAGAGGAGCGAGAGCAGGTCGGTGAAGAGGGGGGAGTTTCCGCCTCGACCGGAGAAAGGAGGGTAGATGGATCACCGCAAAGGAAATCCTGTGATATCATCGTCAGAAGGGACGGAAAGCTTCTCTGAGAAGATGGGCAGAAGAGGGGGAACCTCCCCCCCGCGCCGGTAAGTGATATTTTAATATGATTTCAAAAAGTAAGCGAATTGTTTTATTTTTCGCCTTCCGAGGAGCGGGGAGAGAAGGAGAAGGAGGAGAAGTAGTGAGTGAGGGGAGAGAGATGAAGAAAGAAAGAAGAGTAGAAAGAACAAAAAAGAACGTTATATATCTCCGAAGAAATGCTCTGGCGAGCGGTTCCGGATGTAACATTTCTTTTTTTTGATTAATTAAAACACGTAAATTTTTCCATTAAAATAATTTAGGAGTAATTTTATTTAAATACTGAATGGGGGGTTACNTTTCATTTTTGTTCACGTCACTCATCTTTCACTTCGGAGTGGATCTTGATGTGATTGGTAAATGCAAGGTAGACTATCGCGGATCCACTGGCGCCCCTAAATTTTTTAAATCCATCCCCGTCTCGACTGAGATTTGCCGGCACCTTGCGTTATTGTGGCGTTTTAATTTTTTTTTTTTAATATCGCTGTTGTTTATTTTTTTTGTACGCTACACGGAGAGGGAAAAGAGGGGGAGTTTTTAGTGGGTAGACGGGGGCTATCATTTCGTTAGTCCCACACTCCCGGCCGAAGCAACTGTTTTCCAATCCACCACCATCAGGCGCCAACAGTAGGCCGGGGTGCGTAACGCATTTCCTCCTCTTCTGCGCCAAAAAAAAAAAAAAAAAGGGTTGGGTTGGAGTCAACAGAAGACTCTGTATTGGCATTACGGCGGCGTACAGAACAGTCCCAGCCGTGGGAATTGAGGTGGTGGCAGGTATGCCACCGATAGACCTGCTGGTTGAGGAAAGGAGTGGAATATATGAGAAGGGAAGGGAGTCGAAGGTGGAAAACAGACGAAGGACGATGGAACTGTGGCGCGATAGATGGGTGGAATATACCGGGTGGACAAAGGTTATGATACCAGATTTGGAAGCATGGGTCAGTCGAAAAATTGGTGAGGTAGATCACTATACCACGCAGGCACTTACCGGGCATGGAATATTTGGCTGCTATTTGAAGAAAATCGGAAAGGTCCAGACGGAGGAGCATTGGTTCTGCGGGGAAGTTGATACCGCCGACCATACGCTTTTTGTTTGTCAGGAGTATGAGGATGCAAGGGAGAAATGCCGTGGAGAATGTGGTGAAAGGCCAAAGAAGGAAAACGTGGGCAGAATTATGTTGATGAGTGAGGCTGACTGGAACTCGGTCACAGAAATGTTTGGCACGATTATGAGATTGAAGGAGAGGATGGAATGGCAGAAGGAGAGAGATGGGAGCAAGTGAAGTGTTTTGGCGGAGAGAGGAAGAGGAATGAGGGGGCTGGTTCTCCCTCATCCAGGTATGAATCAAATAGATAAATTTTTAAAAAATTAAAGGGATTTCATTTGTTACTGTATAAACCAACCACGCCATTCCAGGAGAACGAGGACCGGGGTGACAGCTGAGGATGAGAGAGGGAAAACTTTGGTCTGAAGTCGGAGAACAGGCAGTGAGAAGAGGAAGAATGAGGGGGATCACTTCCCCCTCACCCAAGTATGAAGGTAAGATGAATGTAATTCAAAAGTGATGGGCTGGTTTTGTTTGTTTATGAACGACCGAGGAGAGAACGAGAGAGACATAAGGGATGAAGAGTATGGAAGGTGGATAGTTGCGAGAAGCAGGGTTGTTGAGAGTTCTCCGAAGTAATGCTCTGCCGAGCGGTTCCGGAGAGGGAAAAGAGGGGGAGTTTTTAGTGGGTAGTTTGGCTTCAACAGTCCCACACTCCCGGCCGAAGTTCATCAATTCCATTCCAACATCATGGGCGCCAACAGTAGGCCGGGGTGCGTAACGCATTTTCTCCTCCTCTGCACCAAAAAAAAAAAAAAAAGGGTTGGTTTAGTCGCGATTGGTATCTCATCGAGTGCGGACGTGCTGACCGTCGGCTATGAGTCTTTTTGCGAAGAGATTATTGGCAATGGCCGTAATACTCTTAAACTGCTGAAGTAGCATTTGTCAAGCATACGATAGCACCGTTTTCTTTAAGTGAGAAGTTCGTTTGCGCGATTTTAGACACAGTGTTCCCCTTTTATTAGACGCTAATTAGCGACACGTGCCCCATTTATGTCACTCGCTGCAATTTGTGCTGTGTTCCCGGCATGAAGCGGTGTATCTACAACTAAAACAAGGTAGGACTTGAATCAATTACGTAATCAAATACGGTTGTTTGTAAAATTTTAATCGAGTAAGTGTTAATTTCGCTACTGTTTGAACCTTAACCTAAGACTTGCTCGGGCGAACTCGGGAAAAATCGTGTCGAGTATATTCGCGTGTGCGACCGCAGCGCCGTTTATTGCGGCTCCGGCCGCTGGACTGAAGGGAGGGGCCCGTTACTGCTCCTCTCGAAAACTCGCTCCGGACATCGCGCGGTAGAAGAAATGGATAAAAAAGATAAAAAAAGTACCACAAGCCATGAGGAGGGCAATGCCGATCCCTCAGAAAAAGAAAAACACGAACAGCAGCCCAGACCAGATAGCGAGGAACAAGACAATATAGACTTGAACCTTATCGAACTTACCTCAGAGAAGGAAAGTAACTCTGCAAGATTCCCACCTCAAAGGGAAAGGGCAAGATCCCTAGATACCCAGAGAGCAGAAAGTGAAACTATTGAACAGGAAGAGGAAGAAAGCCGGGAAGGCAAAAGAAAACAGAGAGACAGTCTTGAAAGAGATTTGAAAAGATCAAAAGAAGAAAACCAAACAGAAGGCGGGAACAGTAGTAGAACGGAAAGAAGGCTGTCGTTGGAACATGAGTTGACAGCAGCGGAAAGGCTCAAAAGCGGAGGAAAAAGGAAAACAACAAAGGGCATAATAGAAGAAATTGCAAAAAAGATAGATGCGATGGTAGGGCTAATACAGCAGAATACTGCCGTGCCCTTAAAAAACAGTATAAGGGAGATGCAAGGTAGAATAAGGGTCTTGCGGAAGGTTTTTGAGAAGGAGGAAAGAGAGAGGAAGGCTAAAATGGAATCCCTACATAAACAGATAGATAAAATACAAAGCGACATAGAACTCAGAGTGGAGGAGGGGAAAAAAATGGCTGAAAGAAACAAAGTGACACTCTACACACTGGAAAAAAACATAGAGAAATATGAGGAATGCGAGACAATAAAAGAAATGAATGAAATAAAAGAATGGACAATGAAAGCTACAAAAACACTGTGATGAGACAAGGGAATCCACTAAAAGATAAGGGCAACACTGTTCTAATAACAATAGTAGACATAGAAGACCCAAACATGGAAAAGGGTATACAGAAAAGAATTAAAACAAGGTACCCCGAAATAGAGTACATAGAAGAAGATGTGGGAATAATTGAACAACAGTACAAAATAAAAACAAAAGGCCAAATTGAGACGATAAAGAAAAAAATAATAAAGATCTGCTACGGACAAATGGAAAAAGACTTCTTCGAAAACCTCAAAAGTCTGAAAGACGATGTAAAAGACGATGAGTGGGTGGCCTGCCATACAATAAAAAGGAAAAAACCAGAAGATCTAAGAAAGTTAATGGAATGTATATTCCATGGCACGAAAACCAAAGTGGCGATATACGAAAAAGAAGATTTAAATACGGCAAAGAGGTCGAGTAGAATGACGTATGCTTTCGTTGTTGAAAACAAAGAGAAAACTTTCACGGAAACTTTGAAAGAAGTGAAAGAGAAGCTCCAAAGAGAAGGAATTGAAGAGGGAATCAAAACCATAAAAAGTACCAAAGACGGCAAGCTGTTGATGATTACGGAAAGAGACAATATGAAGGCTGGGAAAATCAGAGAGGCAATAATAAAAAATAGCCAAGATATGAAAATGAAGCAACTGAAAGACGGAGACACAGAGACAATCCATATAAGGGGCATGGATGCACTAGTAGACAAACAAGAAATAGAGAAAGCAATCAAAGATATTGTCGGAGAAACGAAAAATAACCTAAAGATGGGCGAACTCAGGCCCATGAGAGACGAGACCAGAGCGATTACGATACGAATAGAAAAAAAGAGTGCTGAAGTATTATTGAGACAGAAGAATATAAAAATTGCACTCACCAGATGTGAGCTCGAAAAAAGAATAGAGATGCAGAAGTGCTATAGATGCTGGGAGTTTGGTCACCCGGGCAAGAGTTGCTCTGGACCTGATAGAGGAAGGATGTGTTTCAGGTGTGGGAAAGAAGGACACCCAGCAAAGAGTTGTCCAAACGAAGAGTATTGCCCAATATGCAAAAAGAGCGGACACAGCACAGGGTCTGGAAGGTGTAACGAATTCAGGAAAGAACTGAACATTCGAAGGAAACAAGAGAGACTAAGACAAAAAACAAATTGGGAAAGTGCGGACAGAAGTAATAAAGAAACTCAGTTCCAAAGAATAGTTACCAAGGAGGAGCAAAAGAACGGGGGAGATAAAGACAATGCAGAAGAGATGCAAACCGGTAATTAAAGAAGGCCTCAAATTAAAGAAAGTAAAGAAGGCACATGAACTGATGAAAAAAAATATGGAAGAGGAAGGTGTTGTGATAGTTATCGGCTGCGAACCGAATAAAAGATACGCAAAAGCGCTTTTATGTGATAGTAACTGTGATAGTTTTATAGATATACAAAAAAATACCACTGTGATAGATAAATATATAGGAAGGGGTTTTGTGTGTGTTGAGTGCTGTGAATGTGTTTTTATCTCCTGTTACTTTTCGCCCAACGGAGACATGGAAGATTACAAAACGCTGCTTTATAATATGGAATTGGTAATTAAATACAAAAAGAAAAAAGTGGTGATGGGTGGTGATTTGAATGCTAAGTGTGTGATGATTGGGTCACTAACAGCAAACCAAAGAGGAAAAGTACTCGAAGAATGGTTTATGGCCAACAACCTTATTGTCTTAAACGTCGGGAGTACACCCACATTCACAGGGGTCGCAGGAAGCTCTGTGATAGACTTTACAGCAGCAACAGGTGATGTGGTTGGCAATATAAGAAACTGGCATGTGGAAGAAAGCGCAGAAAATCTTAGTGACCACCACACAATTATATTTGAAATGGCTAGCTTGTTGCCCGAAACAAATGTGAATACGAACCAGGAAGGGTGGAGAGTTACCCTACCTACTTAATTAATTTTAATTACAACTTTAATGGTAGACCTATTATCTCTACTGACAGAGTGAAGGATCTTGGCATTATACTTGATGCCAAATTGAGATATCACCTTCACATCGAAGTCATGGTGGCGAAAGCCCTGCGTAACCTAGGGTTTGTTATCAGAATAAGTAGACAGTTTACCAATTTTACAAGCATTAAATCCCTTTATANTTTCATTTTTGTTCACGTCACTCATCTTTCACTTCGGAGTGGATCTTGATGTGATTGGTAAATGCAAGGTAGACTATCGCGGATCCACTGGCGCCCCTAAATTTTTTAAATCCATCCCCGTCTCGACTGAGATTTGCCGGCACCTTGCGTTATTGTGGTGTTTTAATTTTTTTTTTTTAATATCGCTGTTGTTTATTTTTTTTGTACGCTACATTTTTGGCGCCCAACGTGGGGCTCGAAAGGGGCGGTTTCTGAAATATTTTTTTTTGCTTGAAATTACTACTTGTACTTATATTTGAAACAATGGCTTTAAAACCTTCCCCTGGTTACTTATCGAAAGATGAACTTGGTTATGAAGTTTCTATTCGTGGTGAAGAAGTATCGACGGTGGATGACATGCGAAAAAAACTTACAATACTTTTACAAAAAGAAAAGCGAGACCCTTCGGTTATTGACACCTACCCCGACAACATATTTACCGACGAGGAAGATGCAGAAGCGGTCGTACAACGATTGGGTGAAATTGTTGATGTTATGAAGAAGTTTTCGAGTAAGGATACCAGACGAGTAGAGTCAAAGCTTTGGCACGTATTAGGTAGAATCAAAAGGATGTCTGAGTCTGCTGATTACCGACCAGATCTTTTAAAACAGGCTATTGATTTGAAGGAACAATATTTGAAATCAAAATCTGAATTGTCGCGTCCTCCTGGCTTAGAAATTTTGGAGCGATCCTTGGAGGCTTCTTTAAGCGTGATTGATGAGTCTCCTGCTGCAAATTCTTCGTTATTGGTTGGTGATGGAAGTTCGAGTTTGACCATTAAATCTGTACCCGTTTACAAGTGGGACGTTAAATTTACCGGTAAACCTGGAACATCAGTTGGAGCTTTTTTAGAGAGAGTGGATGAGTTGGCTTCAGCGAGAGGAATTTCGAAGGAAGTGGTGTTTAGATCTGCTTTGGATTTGTTTGATGGACCAGCGCTTTCCTGGTATAGGTCAATACGAAGATCGGTATCGTCATGGAATGAGTTGGAAAGTCTTTTGAAGCGAGAATTTCAGCCGACTGATTATGATGAACAGTTACTGGAAGAAATAAAACGTAGAACTCAAGGTGAGATGGAGCCGGTGAACATATACTTCGCAAATATGATTGGCCTCTTTGGAAGATTATCTTGTACCGTGTCTGAAGAAACGAAAGTTAAGATTATTCGCCGCAACATTCTACCGTATCTCCAAAAGCAGTTGGCCCTGCAGCAAATCGTCACTGTGGATGAATTAAAGGCACTGTGTCGTCAGTTGGAAGAAAGTCGCAAGGCATTAGAAGAATTTAATCCGCCGAAGAGACGTGTTAAATCTTTAGAGCCTGATTTGGCTTATGCGGCCGTAGAGCCTGTTTTTGCAATTGAAAGAGATACTAAATGTAATATGGCAAGTTCAACTTCAATGGCTGGAAGAGGATGTTTCAACTGCGGTAAACCTGGACATCTTGCTAAAGGTTGTACTGCCCCACTTCGTCTTCATTGCTACAAGTGTCAGGAAGAAGGATATACCACTCGCAATTGTCCTAAATGCAATCCCTCTTCGTTAAATACAAGGTCGTCATTGAAATCGTCGTCGGGAAACGGAAGACCTCGCCAGTAGATGGTCGTCTAACTGGTGAAGAGGAACTGTTTTCGACCGAAAAAGTTAAAGCCATTCTCAACTTTATATTAGACAATTCGGATCCAGATGAGAGACCATACTTGAACATTAAAGTTTTGGGAAGAGATGTACTCGGTTTGTTGGATACTGGAGCATCACGTACAGTATTGGGTGCTGTAGGATGGAAATTGTTGTCTGGTCTTGGTCTACAATTGATGAAGAAAGTTAGTGCTGTTCGAGTGGCCAATGGTCAGACATGTGAAAGTATTGGTACATTGATCGTCCCAGTGGAACTTAGAAAAAAAATAAAGTTTATCGAAATGTTAGTTGTGCCGGATCTCCCTCAACCACTGATACTTGGCGTGGATTTCTTTAAAACGATGGGCATAGTACCGGATTTACGCCGAAATGAATGGACATTTACTGGAAAGCAAATTGTTTTGTCAGCTTTAGATACGTTGAAAGGTGATTTAACTGCAGAAGAGCAATCGAATTTGGATAGACTGATCGACAAATATAAAAGCAAAATGGGAGATGAACTTGGTTGTACACATCTTGCAGAACACGTCATCAAAACAACATCACCTCCTATAAAACAGCGCTATTACCCGGTCTCGCCTGTAATTCAAAATCAAATCAACCGAGAACTCGATGAAATGTTGGAAAAGGGCGTCGTTGAACCATCGACAAGTGGTTGGTCTTCACCTATTCTGCTAGTTAGGAAGAAGGATTCCAGTTACCGATTTTGTGTGGACTTTAGACGGCTGAACGCTGTAACTGAAAGAGATGGATATCCGCTACCCTATGTATCGGCAACATTAGACAAGCTCCGTAATGCCAAGTTTCTTTCATCAATTGATATAAAATCTGCTTTCTGGCAGGTGCCAATGGAAATGAATTCTAAACAATTTACCGCGTTTACCATTCCGGGAAGAGGCTTATATCAATTTACTAGGATGCCATTTGGATTACACAATTCTCCCGCTACGTGGCAACGATTGATGGATAGAGTGATAGGGGCACAGTTGGAACCCAATGTTTTTGTTTATCTGGACGATGTTGTGATAGTCACTGAGACGTTTGAACACCACCTCAATGTTTTGGAAGAGGTTTTTCGTCGTTTGTTGGAAGCGGGACTTCGAGTTAGTTGGGAGAAGTGTCAATTGGGAAGATCAGAACTTCATTATTTGGGTTATGTAGTAGATAAGTGCGGTCTTCACGTTGATCCCAGCAAGGTTGAAGCGATGCTGAGGATTCCTCCTCCAAAAACTCAAAAAGATGTGCGCAGAATAGTCGGTACATTTTCCTGGTACCGTCGGTTTATTCCTCAATTTGCGACTATGTTGACACCTATAACAAGTCTCCTGAAGAAGAAAGCGAAAGTCGAATGGTCCAAAGAATGTGATTATGCTTTTACCTTATTAAAGGAAAAATTAGTATCAGCGCCGATATTGTGTTGTCCTGACTACAAGAAGCCTTTTGAATTGCATACAGATGCCTCAGCTGTTGGACTTGGAGCCGTACTTTTGCAACCTGGTGAGAATGGAGAGAATGTGGTGGCTTATCTCAGCAGGACTCTTTCAAAGGCGGAAAGAAACTACTCCACGACAGAAAGAGAGTGCCTTGCAGTGATTTGGGCAGTGGAAAAAATGAGACCGTACTTGGAAGGAGTTCCTTTTACAGTGGTTACGGATCACTATTCTTTACTATGGTTGTTAAAACTGAAGGAGCCTACGGGAAGAATAGCTCGTTGGGTTGTGCGACTACAACAATTTGACTATGAGATTAAACATCGTAAGGGAGTTGAGAATGTTGTACCTGATACTCTATCTCGCTCTGTGGAAGCTGTTATTTTTCCTCTGGAAATTTGGCAAGACTTCGATAATACTACTGACAAATGGTACTTGAATTTGAGACAGGAGATTCATCGGCGACCAGAAAAGTATCCTCAGTACAGAGTGGAAAATGATCTGGTATACAAATATGTAACATCTAATCAGTTAGCAGATGAAGAACCGTGGAAACTGGTTGTACCTAAAGATAAGCGCAAATTACTGATGGCTTCGGAACATGAACCACCAACGGCGGGACATATGGGTGTATTTAAAACTATGGGAAGGCTTACTCAAAGATTCGTATGGCCTAAAATGAGATATGATGTCGCCAAGTTTGTGTCATCTTGTAAAATTTGTGCTGCCTATAAACATCCCAATAAGAAACCTCTGGGACAATTTACATCGCAACCAATTTGTAATAGACCATGGCAAATAATTTCAACGGATTTGATCGGACCTTTACCCAAGTCTAAACATAGGAATCAATATTTACTCGTCGTGAGCGATTATTTTAGTAAATTTGTTATAATACGGCCTTTGCGAACTGCTACTGCAGAGAAAATCGTTGTAAATTTAGAAACTGAAGTTTTTTTGAAATATGGTGTTCCGAAATTGCTCATTTGTGACAATGGACCACAGTACCGATCGAAACAGTTGGTCGCAC